TTTTCTTAGATTTGTGTGATCATGCCGCTTGCATTTCTGATTTTAGTGTGGCTATTAACATTCTAAAGGTTTTGTTAAGCCTTGTTTTCATTAATATGAAGTTTAAAACATGCCCTGAAGAAAACAGTATTCTTCGCCACCAACAAAAAAGAATGGAAAGCAGAAGTGGAAGGGGAAGGGAGGGAAGGAAAAGGAAAAGGAAAAGGAAAAGGAAAAGGAAAAGGAAAAGGAATGAGACCATGGAAGCAAATTAGAAGAAAGAGATTAGTCAAACAAAGGATATTTTTTTCTTTAAAAAATCTGTTATAAAGGCTGCATTTGAGGATTTTCCATTCTGGTTACCTAACAAAATGCCTTTGGGCATGATTTTTTTAGCAGTGCTAAGGAGCACCACTCAAAATGATTTAAATTGCAGTTCTGAGCACTCAGCTGCTCTGAAAATCAGGCCCTATATGGGTCAAGTTGGTCATTTCCTCTAAATGAACACCTAAGGAAACTTTAAGTGAGATGGTTCCGACTCTGAATCCACAGTGGCAGAGACGGGAGCAGAACTTAGGCTTTCTGACTGACTGATCAAATGACTAGACTGTGCTATCACCAAAAAGGAAAGTTTAAAGAATGACTCTGAAAGGTTATTTTCACTGAATTGCTGAGTACATAAAATGAGTTGAAAGAAAGGGTAAAACTTCTTGAAAGGGTTTAGAAATGGTTATATTTATAATCTGTTGTGGTAGGATTTAGGAGTCCAGTGTTCAGTGAAGCTAGACTGACAAATTTATTACAGTTATAAGGCTGAGAAACCTATTAGAAGAAACATAATAGAAAGCACATTTTTGTGAAGGTTTAATAGGAACTGAAACAATTCAACAAAAGACTAAATTTAGTAAAGGGGGGAAAGTCATTTAATACATCTTCCCAAAAAGATTGAGTGACTTTTCTTTAAAAAAGAAGAATTTTTTTTCTATAAAAAATGAAAAATTCAACTTCTGTAACAACAACTGGTAAAAAGGTTTATTAGAAACTGGCTTCTTTTGCAAGTTCTGCTGTTTTCATTGTCAATAAATGTTGGCGTTATGCAATAAGACAAGCATTGTTGCCTCTCTAATTTCTCTCAGGGGTTGAAGAAATTCATAATAAAAGCATTCAAAATCCAAACTGAAATTAAAAAATACAACACTCTTGTTCAGATTTGCATGGCGAAAAAATGGGGACAAAAACTAAATAGTGCAGTCAGCTGGAAGCAGTTGGACAATTGTTTAAATAACCAGTGCTTGCATGGGGTTGGATTCAGGTGAACATCAGCAGGCGCTGGCTTGCTCCATGGCAATCTTGTGGTGGTCTTGTTGCTCACAGGAGGAGAACACTTTTAGTGCTAAGGGAAGTAACATCGTCTGTGTGGGTCGTGAAGTGCTGCCTGCAAGGTCCAAGTGAGCAAAGCATCCCCATTCAACAGACTTCAAATAGGAACAGAGAATTGTGGTTCTCCAAGTGTTTGTTTTCATTGGGTTCCCTGTGTTCAGCTTAGGAAGAACAGACAACAGGAGTTGTTTGAAATAAAGCTGTAATTTATGATCCTAACATGCTGAGAAGCAATTAAATTCAAGCTAATTACTGTAAATAGTTTTTATAATTATGTGTAAAACATTCTACTACCTGTACATCTGTTAAAGTCAGTTGAGGCCCGTTGATTTCCCTTTTTCTGACGAGAAGCCTTCATGTTATTAGTCAAGAACCAAACTGTTTTCTTGAAATCTTTAAAAAAAAAACCAAACCTATACCATAAAAACTAAATATGAAAAGTACCTGTTAAGACACTTGTGGTATCTGCTTGACAATTACATCAGTAAACTGTCTCAGGTATTGCCTAAGCTATTTTATATTTCATAGCTGTATCAACTGCTACTGGAAATACAGTTCCAGAACCTAAAAGCACCTTTCCCAAAAGCTCAAAATAAATAAACAAATCGATCAATGGATTTTCAGCTGAGGGCTGATTATCTTCATCCTATGTATCAGAAATCCATTGAGCTACCAAATAACAAAATGCAAGTACTGGAACACAATGTTAGTCGCCCTGCCATTCACAACTTAGGAGTTTCCTCTCAGCTCAAGTCTTAGTACTGCAGTGAAGCCAACTGTCTAACCCTGAACAGAGAACAGCATGGGTGTGCCAACGGTAAGGTTGACACCAACCCTTGAATACTGGAACACAAGGAGAGAGAGGAACTACAAGGCAGTTTATGCAACTTTTAACATTGGAGGCGTTATTAGCTTTCTCCCTGCTAGGAGAACATTTCCTTGAACATCTTTGCCTTTTTAGCTTGTTGTAACTTCAAGTAGCTTAGCAAAGGGGTTGTGCAGTTGCTTGAAATGCTGCCAACAGTCTTCTACTTTGTTGACAGGAAAACCTGCCAAACCCAAGGTGGTGGCCACAAGCTACTCTCATGGAATTTCATGGCTCTTAGATTGCTCCATAGGCCTGGAATATCTTAGTATCACGTAAGAAATGTTTATGCGCAGATACACTTGGGTCCTTCAAGTAGCTGTTAAACTGTTATAGCAATAGAGATACAAGCAAAGAAAGAAGAGGAAAGCAAAGCAGTCATAAAAAGAAATTAAGTGTGTGCATTTTTAAATTAGTTTTTTAAGTGGTTTTGTATAAAAAGTCCTTTCTTACGACTTTCCTATTGAAATACTCCAGTTTTAAAATCCAAATACATAAAAACATTCATTTTTTAAAAACTGACATATGGCACAAATTGGAACCAGTAAATAAAAGCACATAAAGCTAAACTATGCCCTTCTAAATGCCAGCAAAAATGACAACATAAAATACTAGCTATATAAACTACGCGCAGGTGTGTAGCGTATCACAAGCAAAAAAACCACATCTTGCAATTATAAGCCTACAGTATTTATTTCACTTGTCTGTAATTACATTTTATACATGTTTGTTTAGTAATATCAATCCAAGACATCATTTTGAGGATGTAATTAACTGCATGTTATAGCAGAATGTGTTTGTCTGGTTTTGTGCGTTTCAAGATTTAAGAGCTTTTGTTAGCTGTGTTTAAGTGCCACCTAGTGTTACAATTCACAAATTTCACTCCGAAAACCCTTTCCCCTACATTTTCAGAGTAAAACCGAAGTGTGTGGGCTAAGAAAACACACAGGGTCATAATGCCTACGTTTCAGTACTAACAGTATGTCCTTGATCCATATTTAGTCACTCACAGACTATATGGAGAACAGCTCTCATGCATAACACTGTCGCAAAAGACTGCAACCAAGCAACAGCGAAACTGATGTCAAACTGCACTCTGACATCTGCACAGCAGGGCAGGAAAAACAGATCTCAGGGCCTCAGATACAGGTAACTAGTTTTTAAGATCTTTCATTGTTGTTATTTAATTAGTGATGCAACAGTAAATTCAGATAGATGCGTTTAATGA